GCAATCTATAAATCAAGTTTGTTAGTCAACACTGGAAAAATACGACCAAACTCATCAATATGCAATTGTTGAGCTAATTTGGTTGATTCATTTTAAATTTTTAATTCACACTTGGTGAGTTCACAAGATTATCCTAGTAACATAATACAAGATACACAAATGAGTCGCTGAAAGGTCCCCACCACTCTGTATCATCGAACCACTAGTAAAGATATAGGATCTTATTCTCACAATTGAAAGTATCATATTTTTCATTCACTAATGGAATGAAGTCCTCACCAAAAATAGAATGAAGTCAATTTTTAAAGCCCAAACTCATTCTTTCTCAAACACAACAAAACATAATGTTCTTTATAAGAGATTAATGAATTCGATTCATCCATGTCTCCATTTTTTTTTATCCTTGTCTCTAATTGGTTGGGCTTAATATGAACATTTTGCCAGAACTAATCGTTGCATTCAAACATCATAATCATCACAATATTCAATAATGTAATATAATATATCCTGTAAACTCTGAGAATAAATTATAAAGCAACCAATTACTTTTAATATAAACCATGTTTGTATCCCTATTTTAATTTTAAAAAAAGTTCCTTATTTTTTCTCTATGGTCATCAAAATATCCAACAAGTGTCTTTGGTAGTACAATTGACACTCATCTATGTAATTACATCATAAATGGTTACAAAATATTAAATCATTAATCTTTTGTATACCCTAAGTGACATACTTATACATTGGGTATTTTAAAAGGTTAGAAGCTAATAATATAATTTTCTAAAAATATGGGGGATGATGAAACTTTTTAAAATTTGGGGGTTCACGGTGATGGCCCTAGGCGTACTCATAGTTCAGTCACCGGATTGCCATAGAATTTTTTTGAATGAACAATTCATGTCTATATTTTAAGTATAATTAATATTTCTTTTCTTGAAATTTCAATTGAGATTGTTGGAGAAATCATAAAACCAAACACCAGAAAACCATGAAACAATGCAAGCAATGGGTATAGAAATCAATAACTGGAGAGACCCATTATTGTTCCAATTTGGTATCGGAGAAAACCCATTTAGATCTACCACAAAGACAAAACATACAGATCGAGAAACAAAACTTCAAAACATGTAATATAAACCCAACAATCCTCAAAACCCATATGAAATTTGTTTATTATTGCCGTTAAATCTCACCAAAATAGAAAATTTTCGATTAAACTAAAAAATTCTGAAAACCCTAGATCTAAGGACTTACCTTGGTGAGAGAGATGAAATTGTTGTGAACAACCTTGGTGAGAGAGCTTCAGATGAAAAAGACGAACTGTTGGACACCTGGTGATGATGAGACAAGAGAGCTTCAAATGAGAGAGCTTTATATGAGATGAGAGTGACGATGAGACGAGAGAGACAATGAGATGAGGGTTTAATTAATTTTTCTTGACGGTTTTTTGGTAGAAGACTTTATTTATTCCTAACAAGAGTCAATGGTGTGATCTCATTAAATTGAATTTCGCCCGTTTCCCTTTTTTTTTTTTTTTGGAAACGACTTTTTGTCGTTTCTAAAATTGAGGCAAGTTTGAAAACAATTTTAGTTTTAAAAAAAACTAAATTGGTTACCAAACCAGGTTAAGTTTCAGGTTTTCTAAAAGATTGAAAAACAAACTGTTATCAAATGGAACCTCTACATTATCAAATATAGAAATCTATATCAAAGCATTAGTTTGCCTAAAACTAAATGAATGAATTACATTTAGATCCCTTAATTCTTGTCACTTAATTATTTAGGTCCCTTATATTTAAAATATTACACCTACATCCCTTTAGAATTTAAATACGATAACATGTTCCCCAATTGGACATCCAAATAATTTTATTTAAGTAATGTATTACATTATATATAAAAAATATTATATAAATACCTGTATTATATTGGACATTCAAATGATAAACTTTATTTTGAGTTTTATAGTATAACGGACCCACAAAATAAAATATAGTATGAAAATTATAGTTTTTTAATGATTATATTAATAGATATCAACAACAAGGGGTTATGTGTTATACATGTGCAAGTGTGCAAGCGTTAAGAGTTGTTTGAGTAATATTCCAAATGTAAGAGATTTAAATATTTAAATGATAAATATGAAGAGATTTAAGTATATTATCTATTTAATTTTAGATGATAAATTGATGACAGTCAGAGTCTCAGGTGATTAACCCTTATTTTCGTGATTAAAAAGAGAGAGATTATTATTGGCTAATCGCTACGCCCAATATTTACTCCAAAACTTCCCCTTCCACGCGAGAAATATTGCACCTGCACCGCCCGCTCTGAGCCAGACATTCCCCCCGGGGGCGTTCTCTCTATCTCCATCTGTGCCTCAGCTCCTGCTCCCCCCTCTCCGCTCTCCCTATTTTTTTCTTTCTCACCAAATCCCATCACTCTCTCCTATCTTTATTCACCCTCAACAGCAACCCCTCAACAACATCAATCACAGCTAGCCACCGGCAGCAAGCGCCCCCACACCCAGGTATGTCTCCCCCTCTCTTTGTTCCTGTCCTTCATCTCTCCCTATCTTTGTCAGATCTCATCCCACCACCTTATGCTAACTCTGTCAGATCTCCTCCACCACAACACCAACCACACCCCCCACCGAACAACCCCGACCGTCCCCAAAAGTCTCTGCAACTTCTCACACACATACACAACAGATTCACGCACGCACACTCGGACTCACCCTCGCACGCACACATGCACACACGCCGGTTCTGCAATTCACAAAAACACAATGCTCGCACACATACACACTCTGCAATTCTCCCTCCCTCTACCACTCTGTCTCTCTCTGAAAATCATTATAGTGTGTGGGGTCTATAAGTTGTTTGACCAAATGCCCCAACGGTTCTTGACATACACTATTTGTCATATACACTCACAGAATGTGCTTGAATTTCGATTTTGACTTACTAATTGCTTGTGCAAATTGACCGGGACCATTTCGGCTTTTTCAATTCGTGACAATCTTTTCTTTGAAATTTTGTGCTTGTTAATTTGTGTATTGGATTGCAATTTTTGTTAGGATTTATTGATCTATTTTGATTGCTGGTGCAAATTGACCTAGCAGATAGAAAATCAGCATCAATGAGTAATAGAATTCCAAAGATGGATTCTTTAGTTAATTCCAATGGCAAAATGAACGAAAGAAAATGACGGATGACTTGCACTTGACCTACTCGCCAATTCCCTTTTGAGAAGAAAGTTCCATTCTGAAGCTCTTGCTTAGGGAGTAGAGCAATTTAGTAACTTTAGGAGCCCTAAAGTTAGCTCTAGCTATTAGTTAGCTTTAGTTTGCCATTTTCATGATGTAGTGTAGTGAAATAGTGTAGCTTTGGTGCATGAGAAATAGTAAAATAAGTCAAATGCTTTGGCAATGTAGCAATTTGGCAATACTTTGGGGGTTATAGTTGGAAAGGAATGCAAGAATGATAAATTTGAAGAAGAGGCTGAATTGTGGAAAAAAAAAAAAAATTTGCAGCCTTTTGGGTGCCAGTATCACCAGAGTTTGAGCGTATTTAAACTTTTTCCATTTGTGATGCTTGAGGGACTTGTGTTTTGGTTCCTTGCTTCATTGCATTTAATTACTTTTTCTTTCTATTTCAGTTGCATTTTTTCTGTTTCTTTCTGAGATAATTTGAAGGATCTCTCATCCTTCCTGTATTGACTTTATAGTTTTAGCCTTTCTTTAGTAGTTGTGCTAATAAAAGCTGAACAGTGGCAGATAATTTTTTATTAGAACATTACTCAATATCCTTATCATGGAATTTTGTACTATATTCAGTACCCCTTTTTTCTCTTTGCTGAAGAAATTCAATATTCATAAATAGAATGGATATATGTGGAGGTTATAAATTTCATCATAAGGCTATCTTTGCCATGTCATCCTTTTAACCACTTAAACCACAACTCTTAAATTGCATCACCCTCTATTGATACACTTGTTATGATTAAACAAATATGCAAAGATTGAATAACACAGAGAATCCATTCACTCTAAGTTTGCATAAATTACATGACAAAGAACTAGAGAATATTGCTGGCATACACCGTTCGTCTCCCTAAATGAATTAGAGGGTTGAGATAAGGACACTTCGTCTTTAGTTTCTCTATTTAGGGCAGCAGGGAGTGCCTCAACTTCTTGCCCATAATGCACAGTTTCATCCCGTAAGTTTATCAATTCTAAAATATTTAGTATTTTTACCATCCAACAAATTTTCATTTTCTACAAACCTAAACAGTCTATACATATACTTTACACGTGTGTTGCTTCATTTGAGAGAACCTCATCCTCTTCAAGGACCATTACGATGGAACTGTCCATTTACTAGTTTTTTGGGCGCATTTGTATATGAAGCGTCACCACCTGTGGTTGGCTTGATTTTGCATGAATGGTTCATTATATTTTAAAGTAAATAGTCAAGTTTAAGATTCCTCTCGCAGGAGGTTCGATGAAAGAAAAGATAATTCATTGCCTTGAGTGCCCTTGACTTTTATAGAAGCATGATGATTTATTAATTTATTTATTTTTGGATAAATCCCAATCCAGGTGTAGCCCGTTCTTTTATTTTCTTCATCCTCTATTGCATTTTTTTTTTCTTTTGTACAATTCAATTTTGTAGCCATCAATGTTGAGTAAATGTCACTTTGCATCCTTAAGTTAGAATTTCACTCTATCCCCTAAACTATGAAATTGCTTATTTACTCCCTCTGATTTTGAGTTGTGTCTCAATTTTGTCCAACTATTAGCTACCTAGGGATCTGAACTGAAGTTGGACATGTAACCGGCATGTAACTTCAATAAATGACGATTCACCAAAATAACCACACCACCACGGTCATTTCAGATCACGTTTCCCCATTATTTCCTTATGAAGTTTATTTTGGGTTTTGTAGTTGGAGAAGTGTGGTGGATGGTGCAATAGTACTTTCCAATTTTCAATTTAATGGATCATTCCATCATGAAGCTCCTTGAAGAGGATGAGGTTCTCTCTCTCTCTCTCTCTCCCAACACACACACACACACACACACGTGTGTGATATAGGTATATATTGTTAAGGGTGATTTATTGGCCGGTAAAGAAGATTGAATGTTTTAATATTTTGATATATTAACAGGATGAAACTATGCATTCTGGGGCAGATGTTGAGGCATTCACAGCTGCCCTAAATAGGGACATTGAAGGCAACACATCCACATCTCAGCCCTTTGGTTCTGATAGTGGTATGTGTTGATGTGTGTCCTAAGATTCTATGCGGTTCTATTTTGTAATTTATATGAACTTTCGTAAATTTCGAGTGAATGGATTCTCTTTGTTATTCAATCTTTGCATATTGGTAGTACATAAGAGGAACATGGACAGAGGTTGATGAAAATTATAACAAGAATGAATACACATTTGTAAAAAAAATGGTGCCCTTTTAGGAATTGATGAGCTGTATTGGTGTTAAAAGGGAGAGATAAAAACCCCAAAACTTTAGCAACACCAAAATGATAGAAAGTACAAAATGGATAGCCTAATGAAGAATTGTATAGCATTAACGAGTGCTTGTTCCATTTTCCAGTTTTTAATTTCTTCCATTGAGAATACAGCTTTATTAAAAAACAATACCAAATTCAAGGGCAAGGACATATAACTAACTATGCCTAGTCTAGTTGGCCACCTGTGATATTCCTAACCAGGAGGTGAGGGGTTAATCCCTGCCAAAGGCAATAATTGATCGCTTATGCCCCTTTTTGGGGGTTATATTTTACTCTTCTTTGTCTTTCTCTTTGGTGATTGTATTCTGCCCTCCTTCCAGGTATATGAAACGTTCAAACTTCACTGTAATAAGGATTATTGTACTTGTAACAATAATCCATGGTTGCATATCAAAAAAAAAAAAGAAAAGAAAAGAAAGTATAAGGATATTGAGTTATGTTACTTATCTAATTTTAAACGTAAATAGCACACTGAAAGGTTTATGATCCTTCATAGTTTATAAGCTGTGATGAGGCTTTGGTTTTAGCTTTACTATTGTTTGCAGTTGTAAAAGCAATATATGGGCTCGTGAGTACTAAATAATGTAAGATAGAATATAGTTTGAGAGGTTGAGAGGTTGAGCAGTTCTTCACCACTTGCTTGCAGATGATTTGTTCTGGGAGATTTTTTTTGTTTGGTGTTGCCACAAGAAGGGTAATATTCATTAAGAAATAAGGATGCTCTGCTTTGGAGGTTTTTCATTATATTTAATAAGAAATAAGGATGCTCTGTTTGGGAGGTTTTTCCATTAAGCTGTCTGTTACAATGTGGATAATACTGGAATCCTAGTGGGCATGAGTATGCCGGATTATTATGCTTCATGAAGCTATTTTGAATCCTTTTTAATATAAGATCTTTATCGAAATCATTATTGGATTTTGCTTATAAAAGCGTACATCAAATTTAGGTAGCGTATGGAGAACGGTGTTTGGACTGGCAATGTGGATTCCCATTGATTGTGCTCAAAATTTGCATATTTGAAATACAATAATAGTAGAATCATTGTTCTACTTAACATGGGATTAGCTTTCACTTGGCCTTCTATGGTTCCATTGTGTGTGCATTCTTGCATTTAGGAGTTTTTTGGGTTTTGGATGGCTAAGTGGATGAATTGAAAGCTCAGAACTTTCATAATCTCGTTTGATGAATCTTAAATTTCTTAATCAGAGTGAGATTGAGAAATTATGAATCTGGAGTTATCCTACAGTCAAGAAATTGTAAATTGTAAACAGATAAATAGCTCGGAATTGGTTTTGAAGATTATACAAAAAGGGGGAAACTTGAAAAAAATTTGCCAGAGAGAAATCAAGTCAGGGAAAAGGTTTTTCAAGTTATATATTTTTTCTGTCAATTCTACAGGGTGTGAGGCATGATGGAAGCCCAGCTTGCACCACACCCAAAACACGATATAAGAATTATTGAAAGAAAGAAAAAGAGGGAGAAAGAAGATAGCCATCCAAAGGAAAAGAAACTTTAACAAGATATATGGGCAAGGAAAATCTATTTTACTTTGATATAAATATATAGCACAGATATATTCATATTTATCGATTGAGAGAGAAAGAAGAGATGAACATGGTTGAGAGAGACGAGCTGGAGCAGATAAATTCTTATCTCTACTAAGTTTCATGAATCAAAATATTGGTAAAATTTGAAGTCTTTAAGGATATAGGAACATCAAACTCCTGGGATTCCTGCCTCTTAAATCCATTTAAATGTTTATTATGGATTCCTTTTTCAATCTGCAATCCCAAGTGCAACTATAGCATGAGCAGGGACAATAATCTCATTTTGTAGAGTCAGATAGATTGCGTAATATGATTCTGAAGATTAAAGGGAAAACTGAACAATGAAATTTACTTGCACCCCTCCATTCCGCTTTTGACAAATTACTGATTCATGTTGTGTGATATATTTCGATATAATGTCACTTCCCTGTCATTTTTCTGTATTGTTTTATGGGTCCTTCATTACTCATCAAAGTCTTTTTTTTTTTTTTTTAATCATTTGGCTTCTTGGAGACTTCTTGATTCCTAATCTGTGCAACTCAAAAATATGTAGCAGCTTTATCTCAAATAAACAATCATACTTCAAGTCAGTTGCTTTCACAGTGGCAAACTTCCAGCCATAGTGAAAATTCAAATAGTCAAAGTCAACAAAAATTGAAGGATTTACAGCAACAAGAGCAACATTCATCTGAAATGGAGCTGCAGCAACATGGCTTTGACTCTGATAATCAGCATCAAATTGACCCCTCGCCGGAGCTGAATGGCCTCCCTTCACAGCATAAACAATCGCAAGATGATTGTCAACTGCCGCAAATCGAACAGAACACAGTTCATATTTCTCAAGCAATGGGTATGCAGAATTCTGAAAAGAACCTTGTCCACGTCCAAGAGCCAGACAGTGTGCACAATCTAGATAACGAATCTCAATTCCTGACATCACAAAAGATGAGTAATCAACACGCGATGTCAACAGGAATGAGTAATCAACAGACGATGTCCACAGGAATGAGTAGTCCACAGGCGATGTCCACAGGAATGAGTAATCTACAGGCGATGACAACAGGAATGACTAATCAACAGACTATGGCAACCGGTCAAGCAATTAATGCAATGAATCGTGGCAAACAAGTACCATTTGCCCTGTTGCTTCCAGTCATAACGCCTCAACTTGATAAAGATAGAGCCATGCAACTTCAGACTCTTTATCAAAAACTAAAAGTGGGTCTTAGATGCTGATTTCTTTATCTACCATTTGCCTTGTATAAAATAAATTAGTTTATGATTTTATCCTAACGATCATTTGCTTTGCTATTTTCAGGAAAATGAAATCTCCAAAGAAGGATTTGTCCGGCTCATGAGAAGTATTGTAGGCGATCAGATGCTTAAGATGGCAGTATATAAGTTGCACTCACAGGTGACTAGTGAATAGTTTTATATATCCATAATAAACTTAAAAACCCTGTCAATTGGTTGTGTATTGATAATTAAACTGAACTGGAAACCAGGGTGCTCGAAACCCACAGACTGGACCCAATCAATTTCCACTGCAGTCTCAGGCTTCATTGCAGCAACAAAATCTACAAATCCCATCTCTTGGTGCCAAGCAGTACTCTGAATCCCAATCATTCACACAACTTCAGCAGAAGGGTCCCAGCTCTACCACAGATTCTTCTAATGTTTCCTCTTCAGCAGCACAAGTGACAATGGATAGTAATTCACAAAAATCACGAGGGGTAGAACATCAATCGGATGTGCATGGAATGCGAGTAGGCCAAATTTCTTCTTCCATGGGTGCTGTAAATCAAGAGAGGGAGAGGCCCAATTTCCCAGTACAGGGACTTAGTAAGCCACAGCAACAGCAATTCACACAGGCATCTTTTCCATCGTATGGTAGTGCGGGTGGCAATTATCACTCTTATCCTGCAACAAATGTTAATACTTCAGCAACGTCTCTCAAACAGCAATCTCATGATTCACAAATGAGGCAAGTTTCACTACATCAAACCATGGGTGCAACTCAATTAGGAACAACTCGAGCCATGAATATGATGAGTGTGCCTAAATTTGAAAGGCAGAATTGTTTTAGTGAACCAAAGAGAATGCAGGGTGGGAATCTTACGCACTTCACAAATGATTCAACGTTGCCACAGAATTCAGTTCATTGGCAATCATCAACCTCTAAAGAACCAAAAAGTGGTGCTTTATCATCGATGACTTTTGTCAAACAGGAACCAGCTGATCAGTCAAATGACCAACCTCACAAATCACAATTGTCTGCCCTGCAGGGGTTATCTTCTTTCTCTCCTTTACAGGTTGAAGAAGGAAATGCTGTTCCAGGAACTTTCAAGGATGAATCTTTTGATGTGCAATCATCCAGAATGGGTTTCTCAACTTCAACAAGCATGCTACCCTCAAGTTCGGTGTCATCTTCCATGCCAATCCAGATGGATCCTAATATCTCGGTAATCTTTCTCAGCACCAGCAGGATTTATGTTTTCTGCTTCTTTTACATTGTATGGTGTGTGGATTATGAACTCCAATAAAGATATATGGGATCCCCTATCCTCCCTTCCGTCTCTCTTAGAGGCCCCTAAAAAAAGGCAGGGAAAGAGCACAGTATCATTGCTGCATGCAAGAGTACGGAGAACTTAGAAAATTTCTAGGTATGTTAATCATCATCTCTTGGTTGATTACAAAAATCCTTCTTAAGGATATAGGTTACTAACATTTAGCTCGATATTGGCATAAATCCCAGTTGCTTGTGATCACTACTATTTGTGTTTTGCCTGGCTAGTTATGCTTCATTACTAACTTCCTAGTGAGTGAAGATAACTTTATGGTTCACAAATCTTGGCTAGAATTTTTTTTGATGAGCAGCATTGACTAGAAATAAGTCTCCCAAAATGGAAAAAAGGAATGTTTGTCTTTAACATTAGAAAAAGTATTTATAAGATAAAGATGGAAGAAGCAAAGTGTATAGTTTTGGGGCATTTGGCGGAAGGCACATCTGATTAGCAAATTGTGCAGTATAGGCAACCGAGGCCCCTGAAAATATCTCATTAGTTGGAAATCTTCAAGCTTTGGGTTGCATGCACTGTTGAACTATAAAATTGATGACCTTCAACTTGAAGTTCTTAGCAAGAGGGGTGCTATAGAAGGATTTTTTTTTTATATTGAATCATTGGAGAGCTTTGGGTTGCATGCATTGTTGAACCATACAATTGGTGAGCTTCAACTTGAATTTGTTAGCAAGAGGGTTGCTATAAAGGATGAGGTCTAAAGGATTTGTTTTTATGTTGAATCATTTGTTCTCTTCCATGTTTTGTTTCCTCATCTGGTTTTACTTTCCTCCTGTTTATTGTCTATTTTTTCTTTCCTTTTCAGAACTTATTTGTATCACAATGAAACAATGAAAAGTTCTATTTGTTAATCAAAGTAGTGGCTGGGGTTGACCAGTTTAGTTGTTTTCATTTCTTTACTTTGTTTTTGTCTCTTCACTTGTTGCTTCTACGTCGTATTAGTTAAGCTCTCGGATACCACCTGTAACTTCTTCAGTTGGGCCTGGGAGTAATGCAAAGACTCCATTGAAAAAGCCCTCAGTTGGCCAGAAGAAACCCCTGGAAGCACTTGGTTCTTCTGCACCTCTGCCAAGGTAATTTAGGAAGTTGTCTTAGTGCTGCTTGAAGATGAATTATAAATGGCTGTTGAATTCAACTTTGTTCCCCCTTAATATGACCCTTGCTTTATGTAATAATTTTTTGATCTGCCTTTATCTTATTCATTATTCCTGGCACTTCCCACAGTAAGAAGCAAAAAGTATCTGGGGCCTTTTCGGATCAAAGCATCGAACAACTTAATGATGTCACTGCTGTCAGTGGAGTTAATCTCAGGGTTAGTATTCGCTTTACCCAATTAGCCTTCCTATATAATGACTAGTTTTTGCACGTAAGCAGAGAAAAGTATCCAAGTCAGGCACATCACTTTTTGCAATGTGCCTAATATAGGAAGAGGAAGAGCAACTATTTTCCGGGCCCAAGGAAGACAGCCGAGTTTCAGAAGCATCACGAAGAGTGGTGCAAGAAGAAGAAGAAAGACTGATTTTGCAAAAAATTCCACTTCAGAAAAAAGTGGCAGAAATCAGTAAAATGCTTTATTTTATGATAAGAATCTTTTAATATGTTGAATATATGCATTTTTCTGGAATCAAGAGCAATTTTAATAGCAGATAGGTTGACAATTTTTTGTGTTTGTGGGTGTACTGTGTGTGACAGTGGCAAAATGCGGTTTGAAGAGTCTAAGTAATGATGTGGAACGATGCTTGTCATTGGTGAGTTTCTAATTACTTTATGCTTCAATTACGGTTTGTTTGCACCATTCTCATGCTACTGAATGTTCAGTGCGTAGAGGAAAGAATGCGTGGGCTGATAAGCAACTTGATCAGACTCTCAAAACAGGTCTGTTTTTTGTCCATATTTTTCTTGTGGAAAGTTTGGGGGTGCGTGGAATTGAGTGACTCACTTACTAGATGGACTTGTGTTTCTGTAGCGGGTGGATTTTGAGAGACCAAGACACAGAACTATTATCACCTCGGATGTTCGGCATCAAATAATGCTAATGAACCGCAAAGCCCGGGAGGAATGGGAGAAGAAACAGGCTGAAGCCGAAAAGCTCCAAAGACTGAATGAAGCATGTACCTCTTGCATTCATTTAGAGGCTAAATTTTAATTTGTTTCATTGGTATGCATTCTGAAGTTCTATGTATTCAACCTTTTGTGAATGAAGCCTGAAGGTATTCCTGGAATTGACGGTGATAAGGAAAAGGATGAAGGTCGTGTAAAATCACTTAAGGTATCTAGAATATAAATATATTTTGAACTAGATATATATTTTATTCTGCTGAAAAGCACAATTGTGGGCTTCTAAATTTCCATGAAATGCAGGTAAATAAAGAAGAAGATGACAAGATGCGAACAACAGCTGCAAATGTTGCTGCCCGAGCTGCTGTTGGAGGAGATGACATGTTGTCGAAATGGCAACTAATGGCCGAGCAGGCCCGGCAGAAACGTGAAGGAGGAGTTGATGCGGCATCTGGTTCTCAGCCAGGTAACGATGTGAGCCACAAGCCAGCCTTAACCCCTGAACAGAATGCTAAGGATAATCAAGAAGCAGAAAAAAGAAGCCACTCAGCTGCTCCCACACCTGGTAGGTTTGATTTCAATTAGAACACTGGTCTAAGTATAATATTAGGATCATATGCCACACAAACCAAAGGATATATTACTGCTACACCAAACAGGTGCCAACTAGAGCTTTTGGTGTTCTGATGTTACAATAGTAATAACTTCAATTCTTCACTCATTAAACAGCACAGATAAATAATTTTGGCTGATATTTGCTTCTATTTTTTTTTTTTATAGGAAACGAAACTATTGTATTAAAATAGAAAGTGACAGGACACCAAGAGAGACGATAAGAAATCCAACTAATATAAGAAAAAAACAGTAAGAAAAATTCAAAAGAACAATGAAGCCTATAAATCACATGAAGTTCTCCATCCCTGTAATCGAGCAAAAAAACGAAATTCCTTTGAAAGCCTTTGAAACCGAAGCCCAAAAATTGAATGCAATCCCATAGTCCATTTGCATTATCGTTCTGCTCCTTCTAAAAAGCCCAAAAAAGTAGCAATGATAGAACAATTCCAAAGAGTAACACATTTATCAGGTCACTCAAACCCTTTAACATCTATAAACAAGGAAGAGGATGTTGCTGGGATTACCCAACTCAAACCCGCCTCTCAGTACAAATTATACCACGTTCAAAACAACATGGTAATGTAAAAACAGATGATCAACACTCTCAACATCACTTTTGCACAGCTCACACCATTGAGGGGAAGGATAAGTATGAGACCTTTTCTAAAGCATGACATTTGTGTTAATCTTACCATGTGCAACTGTTCATGCAAAAATTTGCACCTTTAAAGGCATGTTAGCACGTCAGATCATCAAAGTTGGAACAAAAGTAGGATAAATTCTTGTGTCCAACAAAGAATTAAAAAAAGATCTACGTGAAAGGACTCCTGAAGACTCTAACATCCATTTTCTTTTATCACCAGACTTTATATTCATAACAGTGTCATTAATAATAGCATGCAATGAAATCAAATCGGTGGTGTCTCTATCATATAAATTTTTACAAAAACCAAAATCTAAAAAATACAGAGAATCATACGATCAAATCATAGACGCAATAAAGCAACTATGAAAATGAGATAAATGATAGAGATGAGGAAACAAATATGAAAGACAATATTCGCCCACCCAAATATCCTCCCAAAAATGAATTATCTTCACATTATCCACCATAGACCTAGCATATTTGGAAAGCCTCGTCAAACCCTAAGAAATGTCACAAGGGATTTATTTCCAAAGAAAACTTCCAACGTCACTCACCTACTAAGGCAATATATGTTGCCTTTAAATTACCAACTAAAAGACCTCCTTTATCCTAGATTTAGACAACACCCTCCCAAACTAATTAAGTGATCCTTTGTCCCTTCACCGCTACTTTCCCACAAAAAATCCATCGTCATTTTTTCAATTGTCATAGCTATTCTCTCTAGTAACTTGAATAAAGATAAAAAGTATGTGGGAATACTAGCTAGAACTGACTACACAAGAGTTAGCCTCCCTCTTTTGATATATAAGTTTTATTCCACCTTTCCAGTACATTCCTCATTTTTTCTACAACCGGATCACAAAAGTATAATAATATTGGATTCCCACCCAACGATAACCTAAGTACTTCAAAGGCTACTCTTCTACGGGGTTCAAAGTATCCAACTCGGCTCCTTCCGAACTGATAACAATATTCGTTACATCAAATGACCGAGTTACATGTGAATCAGTCTTGACTAGGATACAACTTGGTTGAATATGTACAACTCGGACTTAACTAGACCGAATTGGATCAACTTGTAATCGAGTCACACTATTCGTGATGCAATCATAGGCATAGCGGTTAGTCAAAAACACGAAAGAAGAAGAAGAAGAAGAAAAATTCAAAGCAAACCTTACAAATCAAGTCATTGAAAACAATTTCCCTTCTCTTCTTCTTCTTCTTCACCATTTGTTAGATTGCGAGTCATGACTTCACAACTTTGATTGTGAATTTTTTTTCTTCTTCTTCTTCGATTCTCTTTCTCTGTCGCTTAGTGTCTGTCTCTTTCTCTCTCATTGAACCAATAATTTAAGTTTGCTTTGGTGAGTCTGTAAAAGGATCTTTTATTGAGAGGTGAACCGACAACTATTAGGGTCTTTAATTTTATTAGGTTTTATATTTTTGAAAATATGGTTTAACACATTAAATGCGTCAAATTGACATATTTTACTAACTCATAATGATATGTGGACCCAATTTATTATTGTCCTTGGATTAGTAGTAAACTTGTACCAATTAGGACCTATAGTAAAACAATGGATTAGGTCCCAAAATTAGATCCCCAACATAAGTTCAATTAGAATTACTCTTTATTAAGATATTTTTGGTAATGGCCTTACATATCATTTTACTAACTTTAACGTGCCATATGATGTATTTTGCACCAAGAAAGAATAAATTTTTTTCTTTATATATTTGCAATTATTTCATGATTTTTTAAAAAAAAATCGATCTTGCTAACTGGCATTTTGTGCGTATTGGACAATATCGTGCTACGACACCTTAACCTTGAACCATGCTCTTAATCTTTTCCTAATTTGAACTAATGGCCACAACTACACTTTTATCCATATTCACCTCCAATCCTGAGATTGTATTAAGCACCTCTACAATATTTTCTTAAAATTTAAAGGATAAATTACACTTTGACGTCCTCAACTGTGACCTTTTTTCAATTTGTCCCTTCAACTATTGAATTTTTCACATTGTTTCCTCAAATACTTTAATTATTTCACATTGTCCCAATCAGAAATGTTTGTTATCTTTTTTTGGATGGAAATTTTTTTACGTGTTGAGGTAAAGTGAAAAAAATTATATTGTTTAAGGGACAAAATGAAATATTTGTCGTTGAATATTTTACAAGCATTAATAATTGGGGCACATGAAACTAATTTCATAGTTAAGGGTCTAATGTGAAAAACATGGTAGGTTAGGAGGCAAAATGAAGTAACTTTGGTCATAGTTTATGGCGTCGAAGTGTAATTTACCTAAATTTAAAGATTTTTCTTGCTCTCCCTTGGAAAAAAATAGTGTCATTAGCAAACTGCAAATGAAAAATCAAAATTCTCTCCCTCCCCAGATTAACATCCTCCACCAAATTGTAACTCTCAACTTTCCTCACTAATCTACTTTACTAATTTACAACTTGAATAAAAAGAAAAGAAGGATCATCCTACCTTAATCCTCCAGATGCCTAAAATCTACCCCTTTATCGTCAAATCATCATAACCGAGAAATTCATTTAGTGCAAACATCCAAGAATTGATTTTCTCCACCTCCCTCTACATCCTTTCATCCCTGTAACATATACAAAGAGCCTCAATCCACATAATCATATGTTTTCTCAAAATCAATTCTGAAACAAAAATTTCTTAATCTTGTATATCTATAATCTTTCACAACCTCATTTACCGCTAGAATAACTTTAAGAATTTGTCTATCCTTAACAAAAGCCCCCAGACACTCAGAAATAGTACCACTTAATGTTTCTTTTAATATTAAATATTAAGGATAAGATTTTTGCAATGATTATAAGACTAGACACCAAACTAATCGGTCTAAAATCTCTCATCTTCATGGACTTGTCTTTCTTTGAAATCAAACAAATAAAAGTAGCATTAGTAATTGCATTTGATCACACCATTCCAAAAAAATTCATGGGAAACTTCCATTAAATTTGCTTTCACTATATCCCAACAAGCCAAAATTATTAAATATCTTGAGTCGTATAAGTTAAGATTCATTCAATGAGCATCCTTTATTTTATAGAAATTGGGAGCAATAGAATCTCCTTGGGTAGGGAGGGCCAACCGATTCAACTTTCAAGCATCAAGATAAGTTTCAGGTGTGGATGAAACTCATAAGAGATTCTCGTTCTTGAAAATCTGCGCTTTTCAAAATCCCGAAAAACAAGAAAACAGACGGAATTCTAGGATTCAATGAAACAACGTAGAATTATTATTCCCCTCTATAATTCACTTCATTCTCACCTTTTGTCTAAATTTCTTCCTTGAATATCACCTTTTCAAATATATTCCTTAACTCCCAACTTTTTTTCCTCAAATTCTCCTCTAACCCCCAATTTTATCAATTTTATCAATTTTTACAATTTTGTTCATGATATAATTTTTTGTGATTCTAATATCCCTAAACACTGGGGTGCAACTTGGGCAGGCCAACCCGAAAAAAATAGGACTTGCATTGAGGTTTTTAAATTTTGGGTTGGTCCTGGGTTAAAAAATTCTAACCCGAATTGAATTCGGGTAACACTCGGGTTGAGGATTCGCGTTCAACCCAAGCCCGACAAAGTAAAATATGTGTGTGTGTGTATAAAGCACATAACAAAGCAATTGGGGTTCCTTCATGCGCCTCTACCTCTGCCTTTCTCTCTCTCAATCTCCCTCTCTTAGCCTCACTCTATCTTTGTTTCCCTCTCACTCCTTCTCGGCCTCCTTCTCTCACTTCGTCCTTTAGTTTCTCTCAGCCTCTCTCTCAAATCTGCGAAGACCTCAACGAAGACCTTAGAGGAACTTCATCGATCTGCGCCTCTTTCTCAAATTTGCGCTTCTCTTTCTTGTGGTTATTGTGTCTGTGGTGTGGTGGCAACAATGGGCAATGGCTGTGCTATGGTGTTTTGAACCTTTTGGTTTAATTTATTGTGTTGTGTTATGAATTAAATAACCAAAGTTCAAACCCAAAATTAGTTCGAATTAAGTAATCCGAATTCAACCCGAGCCCGTCCGAATTCAACTTGGACGGTACTCGGGTTGAGTACCCCAAGTTAAAGTTAGGATTAGGGTTAGGGTTGAAGATTATATACTTAGAGTTGGGTTAGGGTTGACCCCTCAACCCGCCTAACCCACCTGGGTTACACCCCTACCAAACCCTTACCTTATTCTAGCTCCTCATTCTCTTTTTTACATTTTTCAAAATTTTCATGAATTTAAAACCTTCCTATCCCTGAAAACTTTCTTGCTCCCACTCCATAAGTGGTCTCTAAATG